TATAAAAAAATTTGATTACACACCATTTCAAAATTATTATTATACTTTTTTGTATGGTTACCTTATAATATTTGTAAAAATATTAGTAATTAGACCGATGAATTAGCTTCTTAAAGTAGATAATGAATTTGTAGTAGTAATTATGAATTGATTTATATTTTATTTTCTTTTTTCTTTTTAAAGATACTGGATTTCTAGTAGTAATTATGAATTGATTTCTATTTTATTTTATTTTTTTAAATCTTTATAAATAAGGGATGAGATTTTTTAAACACGTGAGACGTATGCAATGAGATTTTGTAACAGAAGAGATAAGCAATGGGATTTTGTAACTCATGTAGATTTATACTAAAAATAAGAAAAAGAAAAACAAATATTTATTGTCAAACAACGGTTTTCATAAACTAAAAAACAGGAAAAAGAGAAACAAATCTTTACACAATTAATGAGCCGATTTTTTTGCCTATTCAGATTTGTCCAACAATTACTATATATAGAATATATTTAATGATTTTGGCGGGAAAAAGTTTCTAAATTTGTAAAAAGGTTATTCTTTTTATATAATGATAGATCTATATCAATAACCGGATATTTGGTTAATGATAGCACACGTCTTTATTTCAAGGAGCGGATATTCTTTGACCTTTAATTAATCTGAACTGATTGCCTTGACTTTTCAATTTATAAAAACTCTTTTTTTAAATATTTCGGCTTAAGATTTGGATTTCATTATACAAGTCATCGGATTGTTTGAATAAAAATGAATGAAAAGAACACCAAAAACAGGTAGCCTTATTCATATAACCAATCCTAAAATATTAGTTTGTTCACCAAAAATATTAGTTTGATTTTTAGGATTTGTCTCTTTTGAAAATATTAGTTTGTGATAATGAGGAGTTACCAAAAATCAAACTCATAATGTTGTGTACAAGGAGGTTTTTAATAATATATGATTGTTACCGAACTTTTTATGATTCAACAATGTTCCTATGTATTTTAATGATTTCAATTTCGATCCTAATGCACGTGAGATTATATTATTCTTCCAAATTTTACATCCCGTGCATCGCACGGGTTACGTACTAGTAAACATTAAAGTCATATGTATTGCTGAACTACAAAATAAATATTTTGAAATAGATAATTCAATTGAATCAGTAAAACTGCCAGAAGACGGAACTTGAAATTATATTGGTTGTGTTATTTATTCATTTATTGTTTTCTCTTATTTCTGTAAAAGGTCTCTTTTGCATGCTAGGTCGTAAATTACCATATCAATTTTTAAAGGATAAGATTAGAATTTATTTCAAAGGTACACCATTATCTATGCAACCGAATCCGATGTTCATCCACAAATTTATGTATCAACACGTATTTTAAATATATGTTACGTTTTTTAAAGTACGTATCAAAGGTTCTCTAAATCATACCATGCTCCACAAAAAGCTAATTGGTAAAGTCAATAATTATTTACACAGGAGCACTTATTATTATTAATTTTTACTAAAATATATTATATATTATTGAATTATGTTAATTTCCTTGTCAACAACAGTTCTT